AGAGCCCCAAAAAAAGGGAGGAAGAGTGGGGAAGGAAGATAGTAGACCCTTGGGTAAGAAAAATGGAGGAGCGGATAGCTAAAGGGAGTGCAGGAAGTGGGAAGTACGGGTCTTAGCAGCAGAAGCTAGGATAAGTGCTTAAAGAGAAACTGCAAACCCTGAAACAGATTAGAGAGACAAATGACCAATTCAGATGTGACATCAGGAAATTCAATGTCAGGTGCAGACAAGGGAGGTAAGCAACAACGGAGACATGCCGTAACGAAGGCCCTATCAGACCCACGTGGGGCCAGGGGAAAAGGACGTGGAGCACACTAAGATCAAATGAAGGTCCGAAGACAATGAAGGTATGCTATATGCAGAGATTCTAACAGCCAACTGCAGTAGCAAGGGACAGCTGGTCATGAAAGACAGTTCACTGAGAATAGAAGTTTCAGATATGACAGGGACTGAAGGCAAGAACATGTCAATGGAAGGAAATAAAATGCCTCAGAGGAAGCAGATGGGACTCAGTGGGAGGAGGAAAGGGCGAGGTCAGTTTTTTGTGTACGCTCCAAGAACCAAGGGGGACAACTTTGAAGAAAAAAAAACAGGGGGAGAAAAAAATGATTGAAGGCATCATAAAAAACAATAGGTGAGGCAATATACCCGGGTGACAAATTTTCAAAGAATTGGGGTGGTTTGCGAAGTGAAGGATACGGCCTCCAGAGTAACTTTCAAGGAAGAATCAGTTCGAATCAGGATTCTGCAAGAGAAAGCAAGACTGAGGGACAAACAGGAGTACCAGAGAGTATACCTCGACCGCGACAGAACACAAAAAGGGAAAGGACTACACTGAAAGAGAGGGTACAGAGACGCAAGGAGGAATGAGAGGCAATGACGTAAATGAGCAGGACCCAGACACAGGAGGAAGGGCAAACACACCCCACAGAATCTCCCACCAAAAGACTCCAACCACGACATTCCCAACGCAACTGAGCAACCTATACTACAACCCACTCACTGTTCCCTCTGCCACCAACCCCCATATCAAAAACCTCACCCCAACAGTGTCCCTTATGGGCATTCTGCCCCCCACCCCCATCATCACAAACCCCACCTACACCACAGCCCCATATAGGCCCCCACCAAGGCTCTCGCTCCCCCAACCCCAATATTCTTGCATGACCACAATGATAGAAAAGAAACTGAAAGTTTGGTACACAAATGCGGATGGAAATAATGAATAAACATAGGAGTGGAACGAAAGAATCGGGAAAAATCCCCAGAATCATAGCAGTCACAGAAACAAAACTCGCTGAGACAATAACAGACAAAATCTTCCCAACGGATATCAGATCCTGAGGAAAGATAAAAGGGAAAGTAGAGGGGGAGGAGGGGTTGCAATGCTCATAAAACACCGATGGGGATTTGGGGAAAATGGAAGGCATGGACATGATTTGGAGAAAGAGACTACTTTGTAGGTCCCAATTCAGTCCGGAGAACATAAAGTAGTCATTGGAGTGATGTATACCACCACAGAACTGAAGGAGGCCAAGAGAGGAGACGAAAGAAAACAGGTGGATGGTGGACACACCTGGCTGAGGTGGCAAGAAGAGCTCACTCGAGCAGAGCAAAGTTATGGTAATGGGGGATTTCAACCACAGGGAGATCGACTGGGAAAACCTGGAGCCACATGAGGGTTTCCCGAAACATGGAGAGCCAAGATGATGGATGTGGTACTTGAAAACCTCATGCATCAACATGTCAGGGACACAACCAGAGAGAGAGGGGAGGATGAACCAGCAAGATGGGTCTTGTGTTCACCCTGAGCAGTTCAGACTTTGAAAACATCACTTACGAGAGGCCCCTTTGGGGCTAGCGATCACGTGGTTCTGAAAATTTTTATTATATAGTAGAGTTACAAGTGGAGAAGGTAACAGGAACTGAAGGGAAGGCCAAACTATAAAAGGGGGGACTACACAGGTAAAGAGAAACTTCCTGCAGGAGGTTCAGTGGGACAGAAATGGTAGGAAAATCAGTAAACGAATGATGGAATATGTGGCAACAAAGTGCAAGGAGGCAGAAGAAAATTTGTTCCCAAGGGAAACAGAAATAATAGGAAGACCAAAACGGAGTCCTTGGTTTACCCCAAGGTGTAGGGAGGCAAAAACTAAGTGCAACAGAGAATGGAAAAGGTTTCAGGAGGCATAGGACCCAGGAAAACAAGGAGATTAGTAGAAGAGCCAAACGAGTATGCACAGATAAAGAGGGAGGCCCCGCGACAGTATGAAACGACATAGCATCGAAAGTCAAATCTGACCCGAAACTGCTGTATAGCCACATTAGGAGGAAGACAACAGTCAAGGACCAGGTGATAAAGCTGAGGAAAGAAGGTGGAGAACTCACAAGAAACGATCAAGAGGTATGTGAGGAGCCCCAACGCGAGATTAAAGGAAGTATTTACAGTAGAGACAGGAAGGACTCTGGGGGGGCAGACCAGATGGGGACACCAGCAAGG